AGATTTTTTTTTTCAGATATCTTACCTAGAGGTCAAACCACTGTGAAGATCTTTTTCTCATTCCCCTTCTCTCCCTGCTAGACCCCCCAGGCTCCAACACCCCAACAGAGAAAAAATCAGAGCCAACTTAGGACAGAGAACTGATAAACCTCACCAGAAAAAGAGAAACTCTGAGGGTAGGAACCAAAAGGGTATAGAAGAGAAAGTAGGGCTATGGGGGTGGGCTGGGATTGGGGGAGAAAGGATGGGTTAAAGGGAGAAAGTATTTCTCTACCAACCACCAAGTGGGTGTGAGTTCCCTAGAGGCAGCACCAACAAGAACAATTGGGGAATAAGGAAAAGTTGCTGAGGGAATAAAGAAAAGGGGCCTCCTGAGCCCCTGATAAGTTGGCATGTATGAGAAACCAGATTCTGTTCATGCTTGATAAGCTAACAGTAAGATGATTTGGTTTATGGGCTATGCTACCCCTTTCCTTTCAAGACAGGAAAACAAAACTGAGGTCCTGGCCATGAACCTCTAGGAATCAGGACTGAACCTATTGAATGTTCATCTTATTGACTAGAAAAGTAATTACTAGTAAATGAACTAAGGTCACTCCCAAAAGAGAACAGAAAGGAAAAAGAACCACAATACCTTTGCCTTGGAGGACTACACTATTGTATAGAAAACAGCATAAGTTACATTTGGGTGTGGGAAAAATCAGTCTTGGCCGTCCTGTGCCAGGCGGAAGAGGGGACTCAAAGCTGGGCTGTCTCCAGAGTTTCTTAAGATAGTTCCTCAATGCCTTACAACTGCAGGTCAGTACTACCTATTCCAAGCCTCCAACAGGATAGAGAAAGCATGAATGCGAAGAAACGGAATTAGGAGCTCAGGCCTCTACATCCAGTAAACAAGGGTACCACTAGTAGGAACGCGGGACAAGACTGAACTGGCCCTGAGTGTGCATACAATCATCTCCAGCTAGACAGGCAAACTCATGGGGATTGGGCGGCCACCCAATAGTCAGGTAAGTGAGCGGGTGGGTAGCGATAGCTAAACTGGGGTGAGTAAACCAAGAGGTTCAGCTTTAGATAAATACAATGTGAGGATATGGCAAGACATGTATTTGAAATGTATTTTAAATATTCTGTGAATAACTGAAAATGTGGGCCTGGGTGGTCCCTAGTGAAAGACTGGAGACGCAGTTGGGAGAAATTAGCTTTAGAGGTAATGTGATATATTTATTCCAGTGGAA